CCAAGGAGGGTGCTGTTCTCGGCCCTAATGACATGGGCTCCAGGCAAGGCAGATCTTATTCTAGCTACGATGTCTGGGTTGGAGGAGACTACTTCACACTTGGAAGGGTTCAGGACGAGTGAAGGGTTCAGGACGAGTGAAGGGTTCAGTTCAGGATATATATATATATATATATATATATATATATATATATATATATATATATATATATATATATATATATATATATATATATATATATATATATATATATATATATATATATATATATATATATATATATATGGAGATCCGGAAGCGGGATGTAGACTTATTCTTCAGATCATTGTGCTGGGATAGATTCAGTCATCAGACCATTGTTAAGGAATGGATATACAGCCTTTAGGATATTGTACAGGAAGATATATATATACAGTCTTCAAGGAATTGTACCGGAAGATATACAGTCTTCAGACCATGGTACAATATTCAGACCATTGTGGAGCAACAAAGCCTTCTAGAGTTGACCGCGGTAATAGAGCTGTCACTGCTACGGTTTCCATGAGCTTGACTCAGATTGCAGTGTGCCTACTTGAGTTTTTTTTAAGGTATTTTAAAGTTTAGTGCCCTGCTCATAGCACCAGAGAGACTGCCTGGGCACGCAATTGGATGAAAAGCATGACCTGCCAAGTAACTCTCATTAGGTTAATTAGACTTTCTTCTTTCACCCCCCTCCTCTCCTTCTATCCATATCCCCCCCCCCTCCCTTCCGTTTCACCTCTTATTACAAGGAAAAAAATGTTCAGTGGCCATTAATTTATTCCAAAAGATACTGAAATTTCACCTGAGCATTGAACAGTTAAAATAACCTAAGGATTGTATAAACTGGCCCATGGAGACTGGAGCCCATGAGGACGGGAGCCCATGGGGGCACCACCCCATGGCCCATGTATACGGGATAAACAAAAATGGCTATTTTTGCGCTCTCATCATTTGGACGATTCTTACAACGACCAGATTCCAACATCATTCAGAACGCTTCCTCTACCCCCGGAGCGTTCAGGCCCTGGGAAACAGGTGTGGTTTGTCATGCTTGGCTGACGGGGTGTAGGGGAGGGGGAGGATGTGGTGGGAGAAGCCCGCTATCGTGAGGAGGGGGAGGAAGGGGGGGAACCGGAAGACGGGGAGGGTTGACGGACGCAGTAAGACGAAGAGCGGTGATCGAGGGGGGGGGGAGGGAGGAAGGGGGAAAGAGTCCGGAAGAAGAGAATGGGAGAGAGGGTGGGTTAGAAGCCAGGTAAAGGGTGGGCCAGACATTGTGGAAGGAAAGAGGTAGAAGAATTCTTGAAATCCTCAACTGATATACACTTTATCTAAATAAACGATGCAAACAATCATATAGCATGTTTCATCTCTGCTTCTGGCCAAATCATATCTGGAATTTTGTTAAAGCTTTGAGAATCATGCGTAAATGTCTGGAGAATACCTGTAACTGATTGACGGTGTGGTGGGAGGTCTGACTCAGACCGGAAGTGACACCAGGCTGCGAGCCAGCAGGTCTTCGGCAGGCGAGAACGAGTGTAAACATAATACATTTGAAGACCCGTTTGCTCACTTAACCGCGTACGGTATCGACACTAGCGAGTTGGCTTTGGTGTGTGAATGAAACACGACAGAAACTTAAATTTATGATCACAACTTAGCTCCTTAGTTCATCAAGCCCTAAGGTTGATATTTTTACCCTGAGTTTGATGTTTTGCCCTGATGATGTTTTCACCCTTGTGGTTGATGGTTAATATTTTACTGATATTGTCGCTTTTTAAATAGCAAGAAAGGTGTAGCGGAAAGATAATTACAAAAATTAACGCACACACCACTGTAACGAACATGACAGCTTTTTACATCTCAGTAAATCATGGTCGCTGTACAAATATTCATTAAAAAGAAGCACTATTTCTTATAATATAAATATTAAAAAACTTCTGAGAACAGTTTAGAAATCCACATTGAACAATTAAGATGACAGAGTTGTGTGGAAAGATTGTTATTATTTAGAGTTCGAATCCATAATTAACAAAACCGTGTACTAAAAGTAAGATTTTAGATTTTTTTATTATTAACAAGCTTAGGTATATACAGCAATGCGCTGCTACCCTATTCTATATGAAAGATTACAGTGTAGATCAAAAACTAGCTATAAGTTCATATAATAATCCCATCTCACAGAATGGTTAGTCATACATGGAATCAGGGGAGAAAATACCTGTCTCAATACAAAAATAAATTAACTGACTAAATAATAACTTTACGATTTTAATACTCTCACTATTCTCCCGCTACATTTCATACCCTCTTCCTTAATACTTCTAAAATCTTATTTTTTGTACACGGCTTTGTTGAGCATAAGACATGTGTTGGTGCACTTGGTAATTGTGGGCTGGAGACGACGGTTGGAGGCGGGTAATGGTGTCTCTGCTTCCCGCCCTCCGCCTGCTCACACTGTCACGGCTGCTTCATCCTAAGGAATGCTCTAACACCACTTCTGCTTCATCGTACCCACATTGCCACTTGCACATCCCAACAGCATGCTTCCACAGGCTCATCCTAAGCATTGGAATAGACGCTTACGGGCAATGGGAAAAAGTATATATGCTGGTTAGTGTTGTACATGAATGGTCACATTTGTGGAAGAAAATAAGCTAATAAACTAACAAAAATGGGATGTGTGTCATATATAAAAGCCCAAATGCACAATCGTTTGTATGTGCGGTATAAAGTCGAACACCGCTGGACGGAACTCTACTAAATTTGGCATGATGGTAGAGACTCCAAAGGAGGATGTAGGTTATCATCCTACATCCGGATGTAGGATGATAGCGGATTCGCCGGAAGCCCCAGAGGCTACTGGAAGCCTTTAGAACAACATAATGCGGGGTCTAGGACTCCATGGCGGCCTTTATATCGAAGGGCTCTGAAATTCCGCGGAATTTGGAATTTTAAGAGATTCTGGCGGGTCGCCAGCACTAGTGAAGATCTTCATTATACTAAATATTCCGGGGATTTACGAAGACACGGATGCCTATGTCGATAACACCAACGACGCTGGTGTCATATATAGGAACCAAAAACACCTCATGAACTTCAGGGATTCTATCACCATGAAAGAATAAAACATTAGGAGATTTAGTCTGCAGCCATCAAACACTGCAACACCATCGAACGGAATGTAGGAAGCTTCGACATTACTTCTCTTAATCCTTAATCAATTAATACTTCACTAATATAAATTGTAATACCTAATCTCTCACCTTCACACTAACTTTTAAATAAATAAATAAATAAATAAATGTTTATCTCCTTCACTCTTCACGCCTCTCTCATTTTACTCCTTTATAAACATTCGCCCTTCGTATCTCTGTTATATTTGACAAAACCGTGAATTACTGACGAAACGTTATCTGTTATTAATTAAGGTCTCGACTCTTCTTTGCGATTCTCAACGTTGTAATTTTGGTTATTATAATAGTAAAATACGAAATGGTTCAGGTAATCCATACAGGATCTTGGCTAGTGTTGGGCAGACAGATTACTTGCTCAGGTGATAAATATAGACCCTAGGCTAGTATTGGGAAGCCAGAACAAGCGTAGATAATACGTAAATATACTAGGCTAGTGTTGGGGAAGACAGAGAGGGAGACATTGCTCCCTGGGACCGGTGTGGGTTATTCACACTGCGGCAGGCAGTATGTGGTTTGCCACAGCTCATACTTAAGCTCTCTTATCAACCACTGCCATGTTTTCATCCTCAAGTTTATTGTTCTTTATTGCCTCCTACATAAAAAATATTGTTGACTGGCTTTGTAGATTGTCATGAGGATTTAAAAAAAAAACTTTGACTCTTAAGACATTGTTGCCAAGCTCTTGTTCACATAGTTTACAATTGGAATATTCACCATTGGGGGATTCATTATCTGCAGCCATAGATATCGATATCCCAGCCTAGTTCTGGCAATTGCAATGTCACACTGTCTAGTGGATGTTTTATCCTGCCCGTACGTATAATTCTCGGTTCTAAACATGTCATAGCTTTTTATACTTGAGCTTTCTGGCCTTAGAGTCTCAGTAACTGCTCTTTTGTCTTCCCCAATTTCCTGAAATATTGCGGCTTTTACAGCAAAGATTAGAATTCTTATATCCAACTCAATTTCAGACTTATCACATGCAGTTTTAGCTGCCTTGTCTGCGTCATCATGCTGGACAACACCTATGTGAGATGGTATCCATACAAATGAGACTCTGAAACTCTTGCTCTTTGCATTGATAATGTTGTTTATAATGGATGTTACAACATTCCTAGTATCTATTTTGCATGTTGGGTTTTTAAAGACCTGAAGAGCTGACTTTGAATCACAGAAAATTGCTCCTCAACTGTTCTTCAGTGTGTTAGTGTCAAGTTGTAGTGCAGCTAATTCTACACGTGAGGAGCTAAGCCAGTTATTCAGACTCACACTTGTGGTCTATGTACATATATTGTCTTTGTAACACACAGAAATCACAATAGCGTATGCATCAAATGAACAAATCCACAAGGGCCGTGATGAGGGTTCGAACCTACATCCGAAAGGATCCCAGAGGAGCCTTAATCGACTGTGCTACGACATGGTTAAAAGAATTGCAACCGGGAGTTCTACTGACCTCACACGGATCCTGCAGTCTCTCCGAGATACAAACCAGGGTTTTACACAATTTTTCCATGCACCCGGGCTCTGTCAACAAGCTGTTCTACCTCTTCCGACGTAGGTTCGAACCCCTCATCACGGCCCTTGTGGATTTGTTCATTGTCTTTGTATATTCTACAGGCTGAAATGGTTGTAAAAATATTTTGTGATTGTAGAGTAAGGTATTTTTGTGATAGTCGTAAGTTAAAATATTCTTATTATTGTGAGTAAAGATTTTTTAATAACTGTAAATATGTTCATGTGATTATTGTAGTGTAAATGTATGTATGTTTTGGTTGACAGTTCTGGGAGATCATCAGCGACGAACATGGGCTGACTGCAGCAGGAACACTCCGAGAGAATGTCCCGCACGACGTGAGAGAGCTACAGCTGGAGAGGATCAACGTCTATTATAGGTGAGCCATTGTTACGTATCCTAGGGCTTCTTCTGCTTAAGTCGCTTCAGTTACGTAGCCTAATGCCTCATCCACTACAAGTAAGTCTTAATTACGTAGCCTAATGCCTCGTCAACTCCAGGTAAGCCTTAGTTTGGTAACCTAGTGCCTCGTCTACCACAGGCAAGCCTCACTTGTGTAGCCTGGTGCGTCGTGTTCTACAGATAAACCTTACTTTATGTAGTAGCCTAGTGCCTCGTCTACTACAAGTAAGTCTTAATTACGTAGCCTAATGCCTCGTCAACTCCAGGTAAGCCTTAGTTTGGTAGCCTAGTGCCTCGTCTACCACAGGCAAGCCTCACTTGTGTAGCCTAGTGCCTCGTCTACTACAGATAAGCCTTACTTACGTAGCCTGGTGCATCATCTACTTCAGGTAAGCCTTACTTACACAGCCTCGTGCCTCGTCTACTACAGGTAAACCTTACTTTACGTAGCCTAGTGCCTCCTTTACTACAGGTAAGCCTTAGTTACGTAGCTTAGTGTCTCGTCTACTTCAAATATACTTTAGTCTAATGCCTCGTTTACCTCGGACGAGAAGCAATATACATAATAGTTAGTGTTTACTAAGGATCTTTGTCTAGCCTTATGTGTATAACTGCACATTTCAAGTAAAAATTACATAAACCTTCATGTATAGGAGAAAATAATAAAGTCAACTAAGTCTATATATATATATATATATATATATATATATATATATATATATATATATATATAAACAGTGATATATTGAGAAAATTCGTGTTATATATATTTTTCGGTCATATATATATATGCTATATATAATATATATATATATATATATAAACTCACTCCAGAAGGATTTGCATTTGTGTTGCTCACGTGGCCCAACAAAGTGAGGTGATTCGATGAAAATATCTATGCCCAAGCTTACCACCAAGTGCTGTCGGGTCGTTGGGAATATACCCTCGGCTTCCAATGACTTTTGTACAGTCACGGTGGTCGAGTGGTTAAGGAACCAGGTACACCATGGTGCATAGTGCTCCTGGCTGCCTGGCTATCTGGGTTCGAATCCTTCTGAGGTGTGGAGTTTTCAGTTGCATATTGACTTGGGGACCATTCAAGCTTGTTCGCATATATATAATTATTTATTTATAATATTAGGTTTAAGTCAAGCATGCCAAGTTATTTACAAATTATTAGTTAATGAAACTTGAAACAATCAACAATCATATATATTTAATCTCAATAAATTGTATTCGTTTAAATGTATTTAGTCTAATCTTTACAGGAAATCTACAAATCTACCTATTGATAGGTACCTATAAATATTTCTGATTCTACCCACAGCCTGTTATTATTATTGTTTTTCTATAATAATCATTATAAGTTGTAAATTTGTTTAAAATCGGTAATTTCTCCTTTTCAAATGTAAATTTTCATTTAGAATAGTCTTTCAGAATAACAATCTTGCTCAGTTGCCAAAAGTTACATTTTTTATTATTATTATTATTGATTTTTCTAATCTGAAAGAGCATTAAATAAGCCGGACTTGACATTAGATTATTAAATGTCGTACGATTATTTGACCGTCTTCAGTTACTTAACCAACTATGTATGACCCCTTGGATGTCAGGAATGACCCCTGGGTTCCAGTGTGATCCCGTTTGACCCTTGAGTGCTAGGTAAGACCTGTATGACCTATTCTAGATATTTCCCCAAATTACTTATGTAATTTCGTATACCCCCTATTTACAGTGACAGGTTATCTATTATAATATCAAAATTCCCAGTATGTCCCTTAAGGTTTGAGTGTGACGAGTGCGACTACTGACTGCCTAATGTGATCTCATATAATTCGTAAATATATATTTGACCACTGGGTGATGTGAGCTAATATGACATTTGAGTGGCAGATATGATCGAGTACAATCCTCAGGTGTCAGGTATTGGCACTGTATGATTCGTGAGTGCCAGATGTGCTATCTGTGTGTCTGGTATGGCATTACATAACTAGTGTATGAACCTCCACAGTGAGGGTGCCCCAGGAAAATATGTGCCCCGAGCTGTCTTGGTGGACTTGGAACCTGGCACCATGGACTCTGTCAAGGCCGGCCCTCTTGGAGAACTCTTCAAACCCAGTCACTTTGTTTTCGGTACGTGGTGAAGGCGACTACGCAGCGGCGCGCAGACATCATGGCGTGGGGAGGTGCCTCACCATACATGTGGCCATTTTCACTAATAACTCACCTACCTCTTCTAATAACAGCATCATCGTGAGCAGATTCATCTGTAGTTCACATGTCTCCCCTCATAAATGACCATAGTCCCACCGAGCTCACTAAGACATCACATAGGAAAGGGGCAGCTTCTTCCCGCGTCTGCGGGGGGCATAAAAAAGGGGGAAGGGGGGAGTTTACCCCGGACTTGCCTGCCAGGTTTTAACAACATTCAGTGGAAGTTGGTTCACCTCTTCTCACGAGCTTCACTAACATCATCAAAGGGAAGCAACTGTCCCCTTCCCTTCTGCATTACTCACATGCCTCTATTTAACAGCCTATACAAAGGTCAGGGCCTCCTTCAACTCACGAACTTCGGCAAATCAACAAGGATCCACACCCACCACAGTGCCTGTGAACGTGTGCACGTTTCCCTTGATGATTGAAAGATCCTGCATCTTTTACATCTTAACATTAAAATTAGTTCAATATTTATGTTGTATTAAAAGTGGCCAGTTTGGTTGATCTGATTTCACAAATTAGTTTAAATCTCGCTAAGATGAAGTTTATCAGTTATCAAGGGAGATAAAAACAAACAGCACTAGCAGCAGCAGCAGACAGCATCAGCAGAGGGAGTTCCTTTACCTTCTGAATGTTAATGAATTCTATGGTTATCTGGTTGCTTTTCCCGATAAACAGAGTTTAGTTCGCTTTACAGCCTGAATACAGACTGAACTAAGTAATATTCACTCTTCTGGTTGCTGACCAACAATCACCCAAATGCCATGTCGCGTGATGATTCATAAAACCCTCGACCCTGGTATAACTTTAATATCAAGTTTCTTCCTTAAAAACTTAAATTAATATTCACTCCTATTTCGTGTGGCGATTGTGCACATTTAAATAAGGTGACATTGTTTGACTGAGAAAAATGTCCACGGGTCACGAATCATCAGCTGCATGTCATTTATTTAAGTGGCTACTACAGGAGACGAGAGGGGCGCTTATCTCACCAACAATAACAAGATCCTTCAAAAAGAAACAACATCCTGTCTGTTGTGAAAGCAAAATAACATCAATCAGCCCACAAAGACCTAAATTGAAAATCTAAATAAGAAACTTTTGAAACTTAATTTGCACCATCCAGTCTCTGACGACTAGGCTTCTTTCAAAAAGGCATCTGCCTTATTTATTGGGGTTTAAAGAGCTTTTTTAAGGTCTTTTGTGGTATATCAAGCGGTCACAACGTAACGGGATGTTGATGGGCAGTATAGCAGCGTTCTTGCACTAACAGCCGGGTTGTTTACTGCTTGTTTAACAGCGAGGGGAACAAGGAAAAGTTTGTGCCTCGGGCTGTTCTGGTGGACCTGGAACCCGGCACGATGGACTCCGTGCGCGCTGGACCCCTCGGCAAACTCTTTAAGCCAGAGCACATCGTCTTCGGTTAGTAGATGCCTCCCTCACTCTCCATCACTATACTCTCCATCACTACACCACCATACTCTCCATCACTATACCACCATACTCTCCATCACTACACCACCATACTCTCCATCACTACACCACCATACTCTTCATCACTATACCACCATACTCTCCATCACTATACCACAATACTCTCCATCACTATACCACCATACTCTCCATCACTATACCACCATACTCTCCATCACTATACCACCATACTCTCCATCACTATACCACCATACTCTCCATCACTACACCACCATACTCTCCATCACTATACCACCATACTCTCCATCACTACACCATACTCTCCATCACTATACCACCATACTCTCCATCACTACACCACCATACTCTCCATCACTATACCACCATACTCTCCATCACTACACCACCATACTCTCCATCACTATACCACCATACTCTCCATCACTATACCACCATACTCTCCATCATTATACCACCATACTCTCCATCACTACACTACCATACTCTCCATTACTACACCACCATACTCTCCATCACTATACCACCATACTCTCCATCACTACACCATACTCTCCATCACTACACTACCATACTCTCCATCACTACACTACCATACTCTCCATCACTATACCACCATACTCTCCATCACTACACTACCATACTCTCCATCACTATACCACCATACTCTCCATCACTATACCACCATACTCTCCATCACTACACCACCATACTCTTCATCACTATACCACCATACTCTCCATCACTACACCATACTCTCCATCACTACACCATACTCTCCATCACTACACCACCATACTCACCATCACTACACCATACTCTCCATCACTACACCATACTCTCCATCACTACACCATACTCTCCATCACTACACCATACTCTCCATCACTATACCACCATACTCTCCATCACTACACCACCATACTCTCCATCACTACACCACCATACTCTTCATCACTATACCACCATACTCTCCATCACTATACCACCATACTCTCCATCACTACACCACCATACTCTTCATCACTATACTACCATACTCTCCATCACTATACCACCATACTCTCCATCACTATACCACCATACTCTCCATCACTATACCACCATACTCTCCATCACTATACCACCATACTCTCCATCATTATACCACTATACTCTCCACCACCACACCACCATACTCTCCATCACTACACCACCATACTCTCCATCACCACACTACCATACTCTCCATCACTACACCACCATACTCTCCATCACCACACCACCATACTCTCCATCACTACATCACCATACTCTCCATCACTACACCATACTCTCCATCACTACACCACCATACTCTCCATCACCACACTACCATACTCTCCATCACTACACCACCATACTCTCCATCACCACACCACCATACTCTCCATCACTACATCACCATACTCTCCATCACTACACCATACTCTCCATCACTACACCATACTCTCCATCACCACACCACCATACTCACCATCCCTACACCATACTCTCCATCACTATACCACCTTCTCCCCAGGTTAGACATATACCTTCTCTCTCACTCTCATAATTACTGCCATCGTTAGAGAAACTGTTTACCCACATGTTGGCAGCCTTGGTCAACAGTGCTCACTGGTGGCCCTCTCCTCCCTGTTCCCTTATTCTGGGCCCACCTTCCCCTATACTACCCTTATACCTGACACATCTTCTCTCATACTTTCTTTATGTTCGGTAGATGTTACCTCATACTGCTATTGTAATAGGTATACTTCGCCTCATACTTTGTAGACCTTGCCTCATACTCTCCTCATTCTCGGTTAACTTGGCTTCATGCTCGGTACCCCTACTCCCATACTCGGCAGACCTCGCCTCATACTCAGTAGATATCACTTCATACTGCCTTGTGCTAGGGTAAACCTCCCATCATTTATGCGTCTCGCTCCTGGCCGGTCGTAGTTCGATTTCTCACAGTCTAAATGGTTGGGCACTGTTCCTTCACTCTGTCCTTATTCCCTGGCTCCTTGTCCTAATATCCCAGCTTCTTGTCCTTATACCTTAAAAACTTGTCCTCATATTCCTCCCAAGTGCTATATAATCATACTGGCTTAGTACTTTATCCTCATAATGACCTTATCTTGTATAATGCTCTCTTTATTCACGGTATCCTCAGTATACCGGTATCCTGAGGCCTTATCCTCACCTTATCCACGGAGGATAAGGTGGACCTTCTACTCGGTAGACCTTCCTTGTACTCCGTATATTCAGTAGAGCCTTCTCATGCTCCCTTTTACTAAGGTAAACTACACTTCATACTCCTTGCATTAGGGTAAGACTCTCCTCATTCTCCTTGTACTACAGTAAACTTCGTCTCTTATTCCCCCTTTCGTGTAGTATATCTTCCCATATACATCACTGACCCTTGGTATACCCGCCGTGTTCTCTTTACACTCAGTAAACCTTTCCTTATAATCAACAGTGTCTTCATTATCTTCTTGCACTTAGTAGAGGTTGTAATTGTATATTTAATTTAGCAAAATAATTCTGTAGCACTTCGTCATTCTTCAGTATGGCAAAAGTTAATAAGAAAACAAAATCTCCCTATAATATGCAAATTAAACAACAGAGCCGAGATGGAATTAACAGGGGTCAAATATTCACTTTTTGTATTAAGGAATTATATGCTTGCTCTTCATATTAAACACAGACGCCATTTATGTTGGTGCGTTTCACTTAGCATAGGTAAATGCTGTTAGTATGAGACATTTTCCTGTACCTTAAGACGAACGTTTGACCTTTGCTGAACCATAAGAGTGCTTAGTGAACATTGCCATAGTCAGCAGCTACTTAAGAACTAGCGGATATGAACTAGTAACTAACAGCGAAGGACTTGCTCGCCTGCTCTCCCCCCTCATGCTTGTTGCACGTGTGTCTGCATCCCTGCTTCTTCCTGTCAAGCAACAGCATGATTGTTGCATCCTTGACGTCCTCCTCCTCACTCTTCAACATACATGGTGCTCATCAACATATTTCATATGCACGTCCCAATTCAAATGAATATATATATTTTTGTATTTAAAGGTGATTTTACCATAGTGAATGCATTTGCTTTTTGTTTCAGTAATTAATTCTAACGTATTATAGAGGAACTTGATTTGTAAATTCGCTTCTCTCGTTTTTTACTTCTAAAATGTTAAGTTTGTACCATAGTAAAGCTTGTTAAATAAACAGAAGCGAGGGACAAGTGATAGAAACAACTGAAATTACTTGAATATACTCTATGAAGAAATACGTTGAGGTTGCAGTATTTAACTTTCTCCGTTGACACCCCTTACCGGACCGTCCAAATATTAACCTTTTTCACAACGACAGGTCAGTCGGGTGCGGGCAACAACTGGGCGAAGGGTCACTACACGGAGGGAGCGGAGCTGGTGGACTCTGTGCTAGACGTGGTGAGGAAGGAGGCTGAGAACTGTGACTGCTTGCAAGGGTTCCAGCTAACCCACTCCCTGGGCGGCGGCACGGGCTCCGGCATGGGCACCCTCCTCATCTCCAAGATCAGAGAGGAGTTCCCAGACAGAATCATGAACACTTTTTCAGTCGTCCCGTCCCCAAAGGTAAGTGTGAAGACCTTTCCTCTTCATCCTCTTCCTGAGTTTGTAATTCCCTCAGGAGGAGGATGGGGATATAAAGAGATGGGGATTGGTCGATAAAGATTAAGCCACCTAAAAGGTGGCACGGACATGAGTAGCCCGTAACAAGGATGTTGAGAACATCCCTTTTATATCTTACCCTCGAGTGAGTTATTCTCGTTTTCTAATGTAAGAGTCATTGTCTATCCTCAAGTAAATTGGTAGTTGAGGCAATGTTTGCTTTGTGCAGGTTCATCAGATATATTTAAATATGCTAAGGTTTGTGTTTGCCAATTTGAAATAAATGCCTGGATAGCATGCTATTATGCCGATAATGTTACTTCTGTTTAAGTACTTGTAGTACTTAAACAACTTGTTACTTACAACTTCAGACATAAGGTTTTTTCCTTACAAGCATCTTTTTCCATTGAATATTAGCAGTAAATATATCTATAATCCCAAGATTAGCTATAAATGTAAAATAGAATGACTGTCCAAAGAGGCCAGATGCTTGGGATTAGTATCACCCAACTTTCCAACATGAAACACAGGGGAATGAGGGTATGGGAGTATCATAGGCCAGTCGGGGTCGGCCCAAGTGCCAACCTTAAAGAAATATTAACATCTAGAACAACCCCCTGCAATTTTCATGAATCATAAAACAAAATCATGTATGTGTTTTCCATTGAGATTTTAGCAGTTTCTTTAGTGCTTCATAATATTATTATTTTTGTTTTGTGATAGAAGGAGAGTGGGGAGATGGGAGAGGGAAGGAGAGGGGAAGAAAGGTGGAGAGATGGGAGATGGGGGAAGATTGGGAGGGGGGGATAGAGGTGATGGGGATAAAGGGGGAAGGTGGAGATAGGAAGAGAGGATGAAATATGGGAATAAAGTGGAGTTTGAGAGGGGTGATGATAGGAAGAAAGGTGAAGGAGGGGAGTGAGAGAGAGGGGGGGCAGGTAGAGAGAGCCAGGCACAGTTGTGTACCACAACTTGGGATACAATAATTTAAACTCAAGTATACTAGTGTAAACTATGATATTGTTGGGTGACAATATGATGGACTAATGTTGTATGTGTTCCTACAGGTCTCCGACACAGTTGTAGAGCCATACAACGCAACACTCTCCATCCACCAGCTCGTAGAGAATACTGACCAGACTTATTGCATTGACAACGAGGCCCTCTACGACATCTGCTTCCGTACACTCAAACTGGCCAACCCTACCTATGGCGATCTTAACCACCTGGTATCCCTCACAATGTCAGGTGTAACTACCTGCCTTCGCTTCCCTGGACAGCTCAACGCCGACCTCAGGAAACTGGCCGTCAACATGGTACCCTTCCCTCGTCTGCACTTCTTCATGCCAGGATTTGCGCCACTCACCGCTCGTGGATCCCAACAGTACCGTGCCCTTACTGTCCCTGAACTCACCCAACAGATGTTCGATGCTAAGAACATGATGGCCGCCTGCGACCCCCGCCACGGACGCTACCTTACTGTCGCTGCCGTCTTCAGAGGCAAAATGTCCATGAAAGAAGTTGATGAACAGATGTACAATATCCAAAGCAAGAACTCTTCCTATTTTGTCGAATGGATCCCCAATAACGTCAAGACAGCAGTATGTGATATTCCTCCCAGAGGCATCAAAATGGCCTCTACCTTCATTGGCAACTCCACCGCAATCCAGGAACTGTTCAAGCGCATCTCTGAACAGTTCACAGCTATGTTCAAAAGGAAGGCTTTCCTCCACTGGTACACGGGCGAGGGAATGGACGAGATGGAGTTTACTGAAGCAGAGTCCAACATGAACGATCTGGTCTCAGAGTACCAGCAGTACCAGGAGGCCAGCATTGATGACGAGGAAGATATTGGGGAGTACGAGGAGGATGCTGAACATGACACAGCTTAAATCATCATTCCAAGTGGCCTTTGATTTGACCTACAGTGGTCACTCGTATACCACAGGTAATCAAAGGCAACTTGGCCAGGGTAGAGGAGTTGGGTACATGTTATATATTCAAGCTCAGGCCTAAGACTTACCTGGGCATGAACTTAGCACATTTCCCATGGCCTCGACCTGGTCTGAACATCACCTACCAATATCATTCTCCTGAGATACCTTTACATCTTTTTGGCAACTGAGTCTATGCAGTTACTAGTCCTATCGAGGGAGCCTCGAACTAAATCGCCCTCCAACGACCCGACGACAGCACTAACAAGTCTACAGGAGCAACACCTGATCCTTTCTACTAGCCTGTATTGCCACTGGCGGACCCTCAGGGTGTCATACCTTGCCAGCTGTCTGACCCTCCCTGTCATCCCTGCAACATCACTAGCCATTTGTGCAAGTCTGTCCCTGCAATGCGGAATGTCCGCCGGGAAGGCCATTTTTACAAATGAGGAAATTGTAAGAGATGGTGACAGCAAATCGAGGTAGCGACGTGACCGCCAGCTGGAAGGGGTGACAGTAAAGGCTGGGGTCCCCTCACTGAGTGACCACTTTTCTTGTCTGCTCAACAGTAACACGTCGGAGGTTAACGATGCTTCACTCACCCTGCTGCAGGAGTTATCCCGTTTGTCATTTCTTCTGCCCACTCCACTCTTCAGTCTGTCATCTCTTGCGTCCCTGTCTTTGTATCAGCCCCAAAAACACCTTGTCATTTATTATAAGATTTTGTTGAGATTATAGATTTATATAGCTTTTATACGAATTCAATTATTCCCGTTCAAGCTGCACCTGACTTTCTTTTGAGCCACTGTACCGTGATGGTGGAGGGAGGCAGCGCTTGATATCACAGGTGGGGAGCGTGGCTTGCTGGGTGGCACCCCGGCTGCTCATTACCATATCTCACCTCTCAGGTGCCGCCCTCATGCCTGTCTGCCCCGAATCTCAACACTGTCACCCACGGCTGGTAATCCAGGCGATCTATCCTTGCCCGCCTAGACCATAAGTCTTCCCCCCGCCCACAGTCAACTACAGGCCCCTAACCCCTTTGCTCACGCTGGTATCCCAGTCTCCCCGCTTGCTTATTCTCATGGAGGGTTCAAGGCTGTATACCCCTCGCCCATACAGTGATAAACATCTAGGGACTACACCCATGCCCGCCTACCCTCGGCCTCTCCACATTCCTCCCCTACTCAGAGCTACAAGTGTGGGTGCAGGGCGGCACCCACAGACAGCCTCGGCCCACATCACGCCCTCGCCAGTCTAACACGGCACAAATAAAGTCACAAAATTCATGTTTGTTTGATTTTTCCTTACTCAGTGGTTAACAGTTTATTATAAAATCAATGCTAAATAGCAGTCTCCAGTCTATTAATGGCAGTCACAAATTTTAACAGTAATTAGTTTATTAATAGTAATTAGGAATCTGCTAAGTGACTGGTAGTTTGACCACAAATTAAGATTGTTCAGAAGGCCGAAGAGTATGTGGACGGTAACAGAGAATTTAAACAGTAATCGGTGGACAATTACAAGTGAGGCTTTAGTAACAGCAAGTGCGATTAACAGTGTTTCATAATTTCTTACATACTGCTAAATAGCAATAAAAGCTCTTACCAGTTTATCCTAAATCAACTGATGACAGTTATCAATCTGAAAAGGTAACTGACTTAATAAAAATCGATTAACATGTAGGATTATTAACTGAGTTTAGTGTTTAGTTGAAGCTATTCATATATTAAACTACTAATATTTCTTTAAAATCAAAATTTATTAAAAGTAAATGAGAGCATTATCAGTAGTTGTTGTTTTAGATTCAGCTACTCTGAACAAAAAGTTGCAAGTAGCACAGGCTATGGTGAGCCCGTAATGGACTTACCTGGCACAGGAGCGGGGCTGTGACACTGATTATTAGTAGGCCTACCAGTGTACTGGAAGTAAATTAATGTGATAATAAATGGGAGCCAATTACTACACAAGTATTTGGAGCTTATTAAAAGCAAAACAAGTCCACCAAGACAGAGTGAGTTGTGCAGTACCGAGGGAGCTCCGTCACGTGCCCTCAGTGGCGGTACTAAATGGATCTGACACTACCAGAGGTGTTCCGTCCCTCTTAATGAGGAGGCAAACACATTCCCTCCAGCTGATCTAGAAACCTTGACAAAGCAACTGCACTTGTGTTTGAACTACTATATAAATATATATTAATTTTGACTAGAAGGGTTATTTTATTGAGCAGCGTCACTCCTCCTTTGAGTGAACATACAGCCATAGTGATAGTATTGAGCAGCGTCACTCCTCCTTTGAGTGAACATACAGCCATAGTGATAGTATTGAGCAGCGTCACTCCTCCTTTGAGTGAACATACAGCCATAGTGATAGTATTGAGCAGCGTCACTCCTCCTTTGAGTGAACATACAGCCATAGTGATAGTATTGAGCAGCGTCACTCCTCCTTTGAGTGAACATATAGCCATAGTGATAGTATTGAGCAGTGTCACTCCTCCTTTGAGTGAACATATAGCCATAGTGATAGTATTGAGCAGCGTCACTCCTCCTTTGAGTGAACATATAGCCATAGTGATAGTATTGAGCAGTGTCACTCCTCCTTTGAGTGAACATATAGCCATAGTGATAGTATTGAGCAGTGTCACTCCTCCTTTGAGTGAACATATAGCCATAGTGATAGTATTGAGCAGCGTCACTCCTCCTTTGAGTGAACATATAGCCATAGTGATAGTATTGAGCAGTGTCACTCCTCCTTTGAGTGAACATACAGCCATAGTGATAGTATTGAGCAGCGTCACTCCTCCTTTGAGTGAACATACAGCCATAGTGATAGTATTGAGCAGCGTCACTCCTCCTTTGAGTGAACATATAGCCATAGTGATAGTATTGAGCAGTGTCACTCCTCCTTTGAGTGAACATATAGCCATAGTGATAGTATTGAGCAGCGTCACTCCTCCTTTGAGTGAACATATAGCCATAGTGATAGTATTGAGCAGTGTCACTCCTCCTTTGAGTGAACATATAGCCATAGTGATAGTATTGAGCAGTGTCACTCCTCCTTTGAGTGAACATATAGCCATAGTGATAGTATTGAGCAGCGTCACTCCTCCTTTGAGTGAACATATAGCCATAGTGATAGTATTGAGCAGCGTCACTCCTCCTTTGAGTGAACATACAGCCATAGTGATAGTATTGAGCAGCGTCACTCCTCCTTTGAGTGAACATACAGCAACCAAGCGCAATTTGTTTTTCTTTTTGTATTTTCATTTGCAAAAGCAAAGAATATACACAATAAAATAAAAATTATCAGATCGACTAACCCTACACAAAGAATGTAGTACGCACAAGGACAGTTATAACTCATCAGTATAAACCAAACATTACTTAGAGAATCTTAGAGACTCGACAGCGGTTCACCAATAACCCAGATACAAACAACATACACACAGGCACAACATAATATATATATTATCAAAAACAAAATAAGAAATACTGACAATTAAGAAATATTGACAATTAATCACATAAATATGCATCCGCAAATCCCTAAAATCAAAGCGTAACATACAGCACAAAATACCAGAATTTTCCCTAGTTTCAAAATAATCTTATACACACCACGTCTTGTAGTGTTAAAGTATGTGAACAATACGCAAGCTTCACAGGTATATCCACGTAAATATACGTATATTTGGTAAGGAATTTATTTTCCATAATCTTCAATTTATTCCATGTGCCTTTCCTTGCCAGTGACAAGGATTTTTTTTTTTTACATGCAAGCATGTAAGTGAAATACAATAAATTACAATAAAACAATATAAACAAACAATCAAATCAAGCAAAAAATGACAAGAAAACAAAACACAGTAACATTAAACAAATCAAACAGAAGCACAGGCCGGAAGGACCGACAACAAAACACATCATGAAGAACAACATGAAACAGAACACAAGAAAATCATAACATACAACAAGCCATTAATAAAAATAAAAAAAAACAATACAACATGTAAGGCATAAATATATCACACAGGGCACAATAACAACACAAAACAAATTACATGAACAAGAACATGCACACCAAACCACCGGCCTCGCCACAACAAAGGGAGAGGCACGAGCACATAATATAACAGGGCAAACAAACAGCCAGAGGAGCACACAGCATTACATACAACAAATAAACAGGAAATCAGCGGACATACTTGCCCGGGAACCTGGCCCACAGGAACCGTACATTGAACGCTTCCCAGAGCATCCACTGCCAAGGGTCTCGTCCATCCACCGGGGACGCCATAACATCCGGAACCCTGGCAACAAAGACCCGCAAACAGAGGACCCAGATGGTATTACTGACGAGGCGAGTAGTCGCCACTCGTCCCCACATGCAGGGAACCTGCCCACCATGAAAGTTCTCCGGGTGGTCAGACAGCATTAACTCGGCAATCTCTGTCCAGTGACCCGGCAGCATCACAGAAGCCGGCAACACGTCCCCCAGGTCGCCAACGTGCACCCTCACAAGAGCGTACCTGACACAGGGCACCACCACAGGGGCACCCACGGGCACACCACCAGACGACTGCAGGGAACCCGGACGGCGCACATCCTTCCGTAATGTCACTACCAGGCCACGCCCAGCACCAGGATCCACACCATCCCTGGCAGCGGAAGCCACCACCCCCCACTGCGGAGAGTCCCCTGGCAGAGAAAGAACCGAAGGCACGTCCGAGACACGGGCACCAGCACCAGCAGGCACATGGATCTCCTCCACCACTAACTGCAGAAACATCGACATATCCGGATCCACACCGTCACCACCCGAAGACCCACAGTCACTGAAGTCACCAACATCGGCCCAGGCAGAAGACGAACGCTGGGAATGTTTGGGCTCTGGCCGGATATCGTCAGAGCCGGAAGCAGACCCAGAAACACGGGTACCACTAGCCGGACGAACCGACGCCCGACGCAGAACGGCAACAGCCTCTACCACAGGGGAAACCGGGCCACACACAGCAGGAGGCTCCGCAGCCACCCCAGCACCCAGCACAGTCGGGACCCGAGGCCAGCACAGCCTCGGGTCCCGGTAACTTGTGCGGTTACCTCCTTCAATCATTTGTGTGGGTGATGGGATGTCGTTTAATCTTTCTAGAGTGAACACTGATGTAAAGTATTCATTCAGAGTGTTTGTTGCCCTTTTATCATCCAATATAACTTGGTTAGTCTCATCTTTTAGGGGTCCTACAGAGTCCTTTGTTTAGGTTTCACTACATAACTTGGTATATATATATATATATATATATATATATATATATATATATATATATATATATATATATATATATATATATATATATATATATATATATATATATATATATATATATATATATATATATATATATATATATATATATATATATATATATATATATATTTTTTTTTTTTTTAACAAAAGGGAAGGGAGTACCACCTCTGGCTGGAAGAAGGGGGACCCATAGCCTCGGAGGAAACCACACATAACGCATTAGAGGGAATGTAGGTCCCCTCCAATACAGTTTATGTGTGCTTTTCTCCTACCACCCCCTTCCCTTTTTTTTCCTTTATTGTGTATTTAAAGGTTACAAAACATACAAGACAAATGCCTAAAGGTTATGGATCTCTTGAAGCTCCTCCGCTTCTAGACAGGAACCGAGGACGCAGCAAGCATTTCCCCTCTGGATATAAATAAATAAAATAAATATGTTTATTCAGGTAAGGTACATACATACAAGTGATGTTACATTAATGGATTGATATATAGATAGAGCTAGTACATACAATGCCTAAAGCCACTATTACGCAATGCGTTTCGGGCAAGAATCGCCACACTGAGACGCTGAAACAAAAAACTGGAAGCCCTTGGGTCTCTGGTGACGTCAATGAGCTTGGAACCCAATTCCTTGAGAAATCCCAAGGCACTCTTGCCCCAGGGGCCATGCGTCTCAGACGCTATGGGAACAAAGAGGTACTGACCTTCCAGTCGCCTGTACTTGAGTGATTTTGCTGTTTCCCTGTGGTTGGCCGCCCCACCTGCTTGATCAGCTCCGAAGTGTACATAGGTGTCAGCCAGGGTGGATACACATGTGTAGTCCCACACCAACTGTCTACCCTCCTTCCATGAGTATATGGTGATGCCATCAGGGCGAAGTGCGGGGAAATCCGGGTTTTGGACCCCTAGGATGCGAGGTTTTCTCTCCGCTGGGCACCTAGCTGAGACGAGGCTTCTCTTGATGATGTCATTGACCTCGTTG